TGTAGAATTGTACAGTAAGAAAGTTATTTCCCCTAACCAGGAAATTAACGTTCATAGAATTGACAGACAGTTGACCCTGAGAGGTCAAGTAAATACTTACAGCGGATCTAAATATTTATCATTAATTATAACTAGTTATTAATTATTCATATTTCCCCTTGAGCTGATTCGCTACATAGGCTTGATTGCACAGACACTATTGGAAGAGAGCTGAACTGAGCTGGACGATGACATCACTGAATCATCAATGATTTTAACTGAAAGATTGACTGTTTGTTATTGTCCTCTTGCATTATTGAGAAACTACTTTCCTGTTTGACACTGTAAAGCTGCTTTGACACAATTTGTATTGTATAAAGCACTATATGAATAAAGGTGACTTGACAAATCTTTTGTTTTGAATCTGTGTTTCGAAGCTTGTGTTGAACTCGCTACATTACTAAATTTCAGTAAAGGAAGATTTGCTGGGCAAAACAGATGGTGTTATTATTGATAAAGAAAAAAAGCCTTAAAGCGGCTTTGGTCATACTGCTAGATGTCATTGATCTGGTCAACCGATGAATGAGTGTGTGTTTTAAATGATTACTAAACATTTTAAATACAAATACATAAACTTAAAGGGATACTCCACCCCAAAATGAAAATTTTGTCATTAATCACTTACCCCCATGTTGTTCCAAACCCGTAAAAGCTTCGTTCGTCTTCGGAACACAATTTAAGATATTTTGGATGAAAACCGGGAGGCTTGTGACTGTCACATTGACTGCCAAGTAAATTACACTGTCAAGGTCCAGAAAAGTATGAAAGACATCGTCAGAATAGTCCATCTGCCATGCAGTTCAACCATAACATTATGAAGTGACGAAAATACTTTTTGTACGCGAAGAAAACAAAAATAACGACTTTATTCAACAATTAGTCTCCTCTGTCTCTCCGCATCACTGTAGCGCCATTTTGGAGAATACCCGCTGAACGCAAGCAATGTACGCTATTCTTTGTCAGCCGCGCTGCACGGATGCACTGTTTTCGTTCAAATCAAAGCGTAAAAAAACGTATCCTTGCGTCGCAGCTGACACAGAATAGCGTACGCAGTTTGCGTTCAGTGGGTATTCTCCAAAATGGCGCTACAGTGATGCAAAGAGACACAGAGGAGACGAATTGTTGAATAAAGTCGTTATTTTTGTTTTCTTCGCGTACAAAAAGTATTCTCGTCGCTTCATAACGTTACGGTTGAACCACTGATGGCAGATGGACTATTCTGGCGATGTCTTTCATACTTTTCTGGATCTTGACAGTGTAATTTACTTGGCAGTCAATCGGACAGTCACAAGCCTCCCAGTTTTCAACCAAAATATCTTAAATTGTGTTCCGAAGATGAACTAAGCTTTTACGGGTTTGGAACGACATGGGGGTAAGTAATTAACGACAAAAGTTTCATTTTGGGGTGGAGTATCCCTTTAATTTAAAGGAAATGTTGAACATTGTTGCCACTACTTGAAAACATTGATTTGTCACTTTTATCAGTTCTATTTATCTTTTAATTTCATGTTTGATTTTAATTCTGTAATTTATTGCTAGAAAATGTATATATACATATATAAAAACTCCCATATGGCCACCTTTTTGACATTTTTAAAAGGTGAAGCACCTTTCACTGTTTACAAACAATACAAATACAGCAGTGTGCCAGGCCCTGGTTTGTATACATTTTGAAAATCAGTGGCATTAAATCATCCTGAATCAGATTCAGAACTCAAGGGCCTCTTAATTCAAGTTTGTGATATGGAGTGGATTATTCAGTGCTTCCAGTTCAAACTCTTAAAAGGGGGCAGCACTTGAATAGAATCTTCTTGATGTTTGATCAAACACAAATCATCAGCTGTCTTAGTACATTGACAGTTCTTTAA